AGTCCCTAGTGTACTAGTAAAAACAATTCTAGGTTAATCCATTGGTCTATTTAATTTTTTATTGACGATATAATCGTAGTATGTCGTTTTTCATGTTCCTTAAATTATCCAGCCACTTGGTTTTGCAAACTGGTACGCGTCTATTCTAAGCTGAAATTTTCTTTATGATACATAATTCAATAGAATAAGGTGCATTCTACGTAAGAAGTACATTTTATTGTAGATTTTCTTTTGAGTATGAATTTCAAATAATGTTTTTTTTGGCTTATATCGAAAATTTTCAATAACAAAGCAACAAAAGACTTTTTTTTTCATATAATGTTTAACCAATTTACTGTTCAATATAGTATTAGTCAGAGTATTACAAGTCGCATAATATATTCTATTTTCATTGATAATCAATTTTGGAAAATTGTGTTGACCGTCTCGTATGTATAGGCCAATCACAGATTGATCTTCTTGTTCGATCTCTTTTATCCATTGAAGAAGGTATAAAAAAATGTTTTAGAAGAATGGACTTGTAGAAAATCTTTATTTGTACAAAATTCTCATATTTTAAATCAAAGTCGATTACATCACTTAATTTCTATACCTTTGTGATATTATAAATAGCAGGAGTGAAAATTTTACCGTATTTCCAGCAATAGAACAAGCACAGATCTCATCAAATACACAGTCAATTTTTGTGCGTCATATCTGTCTAGATAAAGGGCGAAATTTAGAACAATGCGCTATATTATGCTTCATTTGATATATCTTTATTTTGTGAAGATACATGTCCAGTCTGTTACTGAGACTACGGTAAACTTTTCACTCCTACTATTTATAATATCACAAAGGTATAGAACTTAAGTGATGTAATCGACTTTGATTTAAAATATAAGAATTTTGTACAAATAAAGATTCCCTACAAATCCATTCTCTTAAAACAAATTTTTATACGTCCTTCAATGCATGAATGAGATCGAACAAGAAGATCTATCTATGATTGGCCTATAGATACGAGACGGTCAACACAATTTTCCAAAGTTTATTATCAACAAAACTAGAATATATTATGCAACTTGCAATACTCTTGCTAATGCTATATTGAACACTAAATTGGTTAAATATTATATGAAAAAGAAAGCCTTTTGTTGCTTTGTTATTGAAAATTTCCGATAGAGATCAAAAAGCATCATTTGAAACTCATACTTAAAAGAAAACCTACAATAAAATGTACTTCTTACGTAGAGTTCAGCTTATTCTATTAAATTATGTATCATAAAGAAAATTTCAGCTTAGAATAGACCCATACTAGTTTGCAAAATCAAGTGGCTGGATAATTTAGGAAACATGAAAAACGACGTACTACGATTGTGTCGTCAATAAAAATTAAACGGGTCAATCTACTGACCTAGAATTGTTTTTATTAGTACGCTAGGGATTATGGGATGTAATCTGATGGAAACCAGATGCCTCTAGTTAATCTAATGTTTGAGATATATACAAAAAAATAAAAATAAAATAATCTAATTGTTAGATAATATTGACAGCCTCCTGTATAAATTAAATGAATATTCTATTGACAATAGTATTAAAATTTATCTTAGTTGTTTCAATCAACATTCGACGCATGTGAACTTTAGATAAGAATTATTCTTTAAAGGGCTCTGTATGTCTACATACTTCCCTTGATATGCAAAACTCACCTTAAGAAATCTAGTCAACGTTTTTCTACGTTCTACGCACTTGAAATTATAAATATACTCAAAATCAGTGTGAAAATGAAAATTACTCGCATCAGCTATTTATCTTAAATAAACATCGTAATGTCCTGGCAAACTACGTCGGGAGGAATAGCGTCGTTTTTTTAGCGACTCTTTCACTGGAATTCTAATCGACGTTGTTGTCCGTACTTAAACACGAAACTCTGGTTTACATAGTAATAATAATTAAAATATTTGTCTGAAATAAAACAATATTAGATTCAAAGGCTATCGCATAAAAATGCGATTAGAACACGACAAGCTTCAAATTTATATGAAAATTCTATTAAGTACAAAATGCTTGATTTGTTTTTTATAAAATAATTTATACTTAGTTATGTTATTATCTGTTTATTTGACTCGATTTCTGTATAAGAATATTCTTTCCCTCGAATTGACATGATAGACATTATTTATATTATGAATGACTGGTTTTTTTTTTCTGTTTCATATATTTTATGATCGTGTCTATTCGAACGAAAGGTTATTTAAGTGCATCACTGTACTTGATTATAGATAGTTGAGTCTGAAATATAACTTTATATATAGAATGGTAAACAAAATATTTTTCTTTTTCATTATTTTATCGATAAATAATCAGCGTTTATGGGTGATATTTTTCTGGTTCATACAGTAGAAAGAAATAACAAAGACAAAAGCTGATGAAAGTGTATCTTAACAAACTAAAAAAAGAAAAGAAAATACGAAGGACTAATTCAATAATCAGAAGTTCACGTATGAAAATTTCTTCTAAAACTAAATATCTAACAATGAAAAAAATACAATCAATAAATTTCAAATATTATCGATATGAATACAATAAATAATGATCATGTAATAATATCCTTGATAATGTACAATAATCATATTCCAATTGTATTTCTTTAAATTGAATAAGAAATTACAAACGATTCATATCTTAACAAAAAAATCTGATGATTATTTACATCTTAAACATAGACAAGATGAAATCAAAAAAAAGAGGTTTGTCTTGCTGATGTTTACAATTTCTTAAGAAAAAATATAAAACAGAAAACTTTTAAGTATTCGTTTACCAAAAATGCTCAACAGTGAATATGTGATAGTATTAAAGGTAGTGTCAAAAAAATATTTCATCTTCTAATATAAAATAATATTAGACGATGGAACATCTTTTTTATTTAATAGTGAAAGAACATCAACTCTAATGTTAGTATATCAATCAATGATACATTTGCTAAACAAGATTTATCCTATAATTGGTAGTTGAAAATTTTTGATTTCGATTTCATCTAAATGTATCTTCTCAGATAAATAATTTGATTATGAATATTTTCAATATAAAAGAAAATCTTGATCGAGAATTTCGTATGAAATAATATAATAATTGGACATTTCTAAACTATTATTTTCTACTTTTTCATGACTACGTGTCAAATTTTTATTTTTATCTTATTTTGCTTTCTGTATTCTCAATATATGTGCGTATGTGTGTATATGTTCTCCTTCCGCTGCTACCAAAAACGGTAGATAGTTATTCTGTTTTTTTGTTCTCTCATTTTCTTTCTTCATCAGTTTCTTTCGCTTACACTTTTCAATATTGCTGACTGGTCGACGACTTAAGTGGTGTCACGACCAATATTCATTCCTACTTAGTTGCCAATATATTCAATTTCAATTGTTGATTAATTTTGCTTGTTTTTGTTTTCAACGAATGAACAAAGATTTCAAATTTATCCACAATGTTTCGTATGCAGAAGATAAAGCGAACAAGTTCAGGATATCATAGTCATCGTAGCGGAGAACAGGTATTTCAAATATTTTTTTATTTTTTTTATTGACATATAACTTAGACCACTTTTCATATTTTTTTTCTCTAATAATATTAATTTATTTACTATGCATGAGATAAAATATGATTATTTATTGATGCGTACAAACAAACACGTGTTAGTCTTGCACATATGTACGTCGAAAACAGCACAACAAAAAATGAAAGAAATAACAACACATGATCTTGTTGCGACGTTCGATAGTATGCTTGTATGTATGTACAAAATAAATTCGATTAGAGCGAACGAAAACAACATCGTAATTCACACCTGCACTCTTAACCTTCAATTTTTTTTTCTTGCGAGATAAACATCTATGCATTCTTTTCAAACATACCTACGAAAACAGCATCATATAGAAAAAGGCAACATCTGCTTGTTAATATGCTTGGATAAAGTCCAAAACAACACAGAAATTTTTTTTTCCTCTTTCTTCTCTTTTTTTTTGCTTCATTTCTATCGGCGTAGTAATACTCAATGGATGTTTACGTCACATGCTTTTATTCCCCTTATTTTTTTGTTCTGTAGTTTTATCTTTTGATTATTACTAGTATTACAGTTTACAATTAAAATGTACAACATTAATATTTGTTGTTGTTTATAATTGAACGTATGACAGCATCGTAGTACACGACAAAATCCAGAAAAAGACAAGTCTACTTTATTCTATTTATTCAAATATTTGCTATTATCTTCCATGAATGAACATATTGAATGATGATGATAATGGGAAAAAGAAGTCACCTGCCGTTGTCGCTGGTAGGCAAATCTTCTTGACAGATTAGAAAATGATGAATGATTGTAATTAGAGATGATTTGTTAATTCTATTTTCTACTTTTTGAATAAGAAAATAATTTTTCTAAAAAAAAATTTTTTTTTGTCTAATAAACAACTCCATAATTCATTATTTATTGAATGTGTGAGAAAATATTTTAAATTACTATGTGAAAAAACGAACACTTGCGATTCTATCTAATGCACATGGTTTCTAGTTATGTGACAAACATGTTATGTCGTAGAGATTATGAAGAATGATAAATATGGAGACGAGAGCTTCGAACAGCTGAGTGATCGATTTTTTCTCTTTCGTTCTTCACATGTACGCCCCCTACGGATGGCTTAAAAATGTATGATACTATTCGATCATTATCGTCGCGTATGTGTTTTTCTCTCTTTCTATCTATTCTTTCACTCTCTATCTATCGTACAGCTATAATACTATTAACGAATCTTATTTTGTTTCCGCTACTGTCTTTCGCGTTATATCGGACAAATAAATAGTTATTTTCGAGAAGCGATAAAAAAAAAAATTAAATAGAACAAGCAAGGACATTTTTTTCTTCTTTATTCTGTCAAAAACAGGAAAGAACAAGAAAACAAAAAAAATCTTCTATAAATGAACATTTTTTTTTCTTGTCACAATATTATTTTCATTAAACAATGAATCAGGACAAAGAAGAAACGGTTAATGTTGAAGAAGAGGTGAGATTAATCAAAAAAAAAAACCAATATATATATATGTATCTAAAAAACAAAACAACAAAATAACAAAAAATAATAATTAAATTTATTTATTTTATTTATCTAGAGTAAAGATGGAGGTGGTGCTAGTGAAACAACAACAAATAGTGGTTCAAATAAACCTCAAGCACTAACTGATAATGATGATGATGATGATGAAGATGAACCTGTTTATATTGAATCAAGTCCATGTTCTCGGTGGCAAAAACGACGTGAAACAGTATAATAATTTATTTACTTTTCATTTTGAATGGGAAGAAAAACAAACAAACAAAAAACATTTTATTTTTAAGGTTTCTCAACGTGATATTCCAGGTATTGATGCATCCTATTTAGCAATGGATACAGAAGAAGGTGTTGAAGTTGTTTGGAATGAAGTTTTATTTTCTGAAAGAAAAATTAGTGATATACAACATGTATGTTGAATTTTTTTTTTGTTTTATTGTAATTTAAAACTATAATTTTTTAGAATAAAGTCAGTGAAGTTTTTAATAAATTAATCGATTTAAACCATATGAATATTGTTAAATTTCATGATTATTGGCAAGATCGTACGAAAAATGATGATCGTCCACGAGTAATTACTTTTTTTAAAAAACCAGACGATTTTTTTTGTGTTTCAAATTTTTTTAATCTAATATCTCTAGGTTGTTTTTATCACTGAATATATGTCAAGTGGTTCTTTAAAAACATTTTTACGTAAAACGAAAAGAACAAAACAAAATTTATCGAAAAATTCTTGGCGACGATGGTGTATTCAATTATTATCAGCACTAAAGTATGCTAATAATAATAATTTTAACATCCTTTCACATCATTCCTTCAATACAAACAAACAAACAAACATATCGTAAAACCTTGTTTTTTTTATAGTTATTTACATTCATGTGAAGAACCTATTATTCATGGCAATCTAACTTGCGATACAATTTTTATACAAAATACCGGCCTTCTAAAGATCGGATCACGTAAGTTGAATTATTTGAAAGTGAATTTTTTTAATGTACGGAAAAATAGATTGAAATAAAAAGATAATACTTATATCTATAGTACATTATCCTCAGTTGAAAGCCTTCGCTGATTTGGGCGTCGGTAGGTTTCGATTATTTAATGTTTTCCACTTGTGCTTATTTCTTGTCGCTCAGCTGTTACTAATTAATTTTAAAAAAGAACAAGAAAATTAATTATGCATTGTCAATTGTTATATATAAAAATAAAACAAAACAAAAAAAAATCTAATTAAAAATTTTTATTTATTTATATAGTTGCTCCTGATGTAGTACATCGTCATGTAAAAAGTATATCAGATCCATCAGCAAAACATTTACATTTTCAAGCTCCAGAAATAGATGATGGTTAGTTAATAAATAAAACAAAACAACAACAAAAAAAAAAACGTTAAATTTTGTTATCATTTTACTTTTATTCTAGAATTAAGTCAAATTACAACAGCTGTTGATATATATTCACTTGGCATGGTAACACTTGAGGTATTTCCTTCTGCCCTTTTTATTTTGTTTTTAATTTCATATCTTTATTATGGATACTTGACTTCTAAACGAGAAGTTTCGGAACTTTCCACTATTTGATTAAATGTATGATGAAAAACAAAATGACATTAAAAGAATGTTTTATAGCATTATACGAAGTACTTTTAATATTTGTTTTTCTATTATTTCAGTTTATTAAGTGAGTCTATACTTTGAACAAAGCTAATTGATCATTATTAAAGTCGAGTTATGTCATGTTCGGAAAAACTATTAATATCCTGCAGATCAATGAAAGAATTTCAGTAATTATTAAGTATGAACAATAAAATTACTTCTAATTATTTATTAATTCTTTGAAAAACAAGATTATGTTTTGTTTTTGTTGGTGAACATAGCCAATGAAAAAAAAAAGATATTTATAAAAAGCGGTACATGATTAGTAGATTCAATAAAGTTTCTCAGGTAAAAACCACGATATTGAGACTGATATAAATAGCCAATGACGTTATCAATTATCAGATAAGATAAGAGTTCGATGTTCTTGAAAAGAGCATTGAGAACACTTTCTCTAAACTTTTTACATTTTGAAAAACGTCAATAATTCAATAAAATTAATTGACAATTTGATCTCAATAGAAGACGAAAAAAAGAGATCTGAAATACGATCAAACAAATAAGCGAGTTATCTTGAAATCCTCTCTCTCCTTCGAAAAAAAACAATTTTCATGAGAAACATCGAAATTATAGCGAATATGTCAAAGACTAGTCGAAGATATGATCATCTTTCAAAATGAAAACACTTTGTAGGTTAGCCCCTTGTTCTATAATATAATTTTCACTGATTTCTGTCATCTTCTTCCAGAAAACATTATTATTTCTGTAAGCAAAGATTGTATGATGAATGTCAAATATGCCTAGACAAGTTTTACTGTAATTCAAAGAGAAAAAAAAGCTTTTTCAACATGCAAAAGAAATTAACTAATTGATAAATACAACACGCGAAGAATTAAAACTACGAAAATATTATAAAATTTCTATTCCAGAAAAATCTTTTCCATTTTTTTTTCTCCCTTGATACTTGTTCGTTCGTACATCTCAAAATTCTCAAAGGATTTTAATTATAGCCAATTGCCTGTTTTGTTTTTTTGCTTGAAAGAACATGTCAAGATGCCCCGCATAACAGAGTCTCTGTTTATTTTTGATTAAATTGTATTCTTACTATATCTGCAAGCTCTTCAATCAATAGATCTTCACTTTTAGGTAATTTTTTGAAGCATCGAATTAATCACTATTTCCTTCTACATAAGATATATAACTTTAAAAAAAAAAAGAACTCCGCAATGCCTTGCATCTTGACATTTTTTTCTTTCAAATAAAAACAAAATTAAATACATAGACTGAGGGTCTACAGAGAGTTTTACATTATTAAATGAACAAATTTTGACTCTTGTTTGATGAATATGTCTCTCAAATCACATGGCATTGAAACTAGAGTTCGTCGGATTCAAAATTTTCAGTCTTGGACTCGGTCGAAGTGAACTGTGATACTCTCAATGAAATTTCCTAATCGGAATTGAATAACTGTCGCGAAAATACGAGATACTTTTTTCCCGGGTTTTTTTGTATTCGATGGCTCGTGTACTTTACACATTTATAGGACAACTAGAGCCCCAAAGTTTTCGGATCCGGGACCAACCTAGTGGACTCTACATAGAACTGAAAATTTGATTATAGTGTCTCCGTTGTAGTCTTAACACATTCAAAAACTATTAGGTGATTTGAGTGTACCTAGCGCGAAATCTGTTCTTGAGTCAGAGAATGAATTAGACAAAAGTTCAATAGAATCTAATGACGCTTTTTTTTGTTACAAGAATAAATATAGAATTTCTTAACTGATTTTATAAAAATTTGATTAAAATGATTAGAAATATTTACATATTAATATTTAGATGATCAATCTTGATCTCGGTGGTAATGGTGATACACATGCAGTAACAGACGATGTTGTGAATGATGCTATTGCAAATCTTGATAATCCTGTTCAAAAAGTAGAAAAAGATTTTGTTTTTCTTAAAATTCATATGTATATAATCAAATATTTATTTTTTTAAAGGATCTTGTTTTGAAATGTCTCGAAATCGATCCATCGAAACGACCCACAGCACGTCAATTACTTTTTCATCCAGCTTTATTTGAAATTCCAGCATTAAAACTTTTATCTGTTCATTCATTGGCAGATGATATTCGTAAGAGAAAAAAAAAACAAATTTCTATTTTTTTATTTTTTATTTTCAATAAGATAGGCTCAAAACCAGATCGTTCATTTGTTTCACCATTTCATCATTATTTATTAAATGGCCAAGTTTTTGCTGAATTAGAATCAATTCGTGAAGGTGTTAAATCGGTTATTTTTACGTATGTTATTTCATACATTATTCAATTCTTAATTTAAAACATAAAAAAAAAATTTTCTTTATTTCAGTTATAAAGATTGTCCACCATTTGATTTAGATAAACTTCTTGAAGATGTTCAAAATGGTTTACATCCAATAACAGCTTATCATCTATTATTTCCAACTCATAGTACATTAAATCTTTCAGGAAAATCCTTGAATACAGATAGAATTTTAACAGCATCATCATCATATTCATCATTAGCTGCATCAACTTTCATAAATACTGATACAGATTTAACAACTTCTATACAATCAACAACAGATTTACTTGTTAATCATCCGATAAATACAAATGATTCAAATTTAACAATATTAACCAATGGAATTAAATCACGTAATGGTGGAACAACATTTGAACGATCTGCTTCAGGAACAAATGATGGTGAACATAATACGAATGATTTAATATCAACAATAAATAATAATAATTATAATTCTTCAACAACATTATTATCAAATAGTGATGAAAAAGAAAATCGAAGAATTATTGATATACAATGTAAACTTAAAACAAAAGAAACACGTTCATGTTTGGTAAAGTTTCTTTTGTTTTTTCTTCTATTTGAATTTATTTTTTGAAATTTTATTTTTATTTATTTAGTTATTTATTAGTGTAAAATTTCAAGATCGATTACAACGTGATATGACAACAGAAATTGATTTAGATGAAACACCAACTAATCTAGCAAAAGAATTATTAGAACACGGTTTAATTCATGAGGTAATTATTTTCTTTAGAAATACTCTTGACATTTTATATATATATCGTGATTTATAAATGTGATAATTATTAACATAAGAATAACACTATATATAAGATGATGAAAAGAAGTTTAACAATAACGCATGTTTTTCTATAATGTTAAGCATCTAGCTCAAATCCGGATAGTGATTTTAATAGGCAATGAAGTTTTCTATCTGTACTAGATGAACTATGATGGTAAGGTTTCGAAAAACAATCGGACTCAGTAGCTTTCAGGTACCAGAAGACTTTGTCGGAGCTAGTAAGCACAAAATTCTGAACAAAATGAAAGGTCACTGGATTTTCTGCGGCATTCCCTTAAAAAGTTTAAAGTATTACAAAAATACGAAAAGAGGCATTTTTTCAGTCGATTTTTTGATAAATTTCGTCTTTTTACAGTTTTTCTGATACTTTTAACTTTTTAACGAAAGATAGTAGAAAATTCGGCCACTCCTTATTTTGTTTACAATTTTGTACTGCTCCAAATAGCATTGTGAACAAATAGCTCCAACAAAGTTTTCTAGGATTTTGCTTTTCTAGACAAACAAGTTATTGAAGCTGTTTGTCTATATTCGAAGCATGAATACGTGTATGGATATAATTTTTCAAAAAAAATTATGCTTCAAGATATACATCGTTAAACACTACTATATAAGAAATCAAAGAATATGAAAGACAAGTATAAAAATACAATTTACTAATTTAATCTAAGATTTATAATTCTAGATTTTTAATCTTACTTCATTCCAATTAATGAATTTTCTTTTTGCATCTTCAGCTAAGTCAAAAATGACAATATCTATTTTTGATTACTTGTATCACACTTAGAGAGATGAGAACTAGAAGTATAAAAATATGTCACTAAAACGAAAAACTTAATCTCAAATGACATGAAAAATTTTTCTTGAATTTAGTAGATTAGATGTAAGAGAAGAATTTTTTCAATGATAAACGACAAAAAAAACACTTCGTTGCTTTCCATTAACAAGTAAACAAGATCACATGCATACAAGATTTTTCCTATTGTCATAGACATCAAACTTCTGTTATCATAAATAGTATTTGTGGTATGAATAGGCAATCTATTAGTATTGTTACTTTGAAATAGAGATGATCATTCTGATCTTAACGAAAAATAATCAGAATCAAAGAAAATCTTATAATGATTTCATATTCAACATACTAGAACACAAGCATATTCATTATAAATTTTCACTCAAATAACCAAATTTTCAATTTCATATTTGTTTATATTTATTTAAACATATAATTTAATTATTTTAGAGTGATTATATACGTGTTGAACAATCAATTTCTAGAGCATTCAATGCTACAGTAACATCTCCAGATGTACTTAATAATACATCAACATCATTACTTGATGTGAAAAAAACAGCAGTTGCTGCAGCTACAGCTGCACTTATAACAGCTCAAGCACTACAAAATCAGTTGAGTATACCATCTACTCCAAATGGAACATTAATGGATGGAAATAATACATGCACATGGACTAATCCTCTATCTCAACCAGTCACGTTTTTACCGACATAAATTTCTTTTTTTTCCATGTATATTTTTTTCCTGATGTACATGTTATTCTGCTATGTACTCTACATATGAATATATCTCAAAATGTATACATTGGTGCTTGCGTTTTTGTAGACATACAAATATACAGTGTTAACCTATACGGTTTTCTTTTTTGTATACGCCAAGCGGCTTTTTGTTTCTATAATACATATGTTTGTGTATAAACCTTTTCTTTTTATAATTTATTGATTATGATTACTATTATTTTACTTGTTATGTTTCATTTACGCCCCAATTGGTCTTACTTCTTGTTGGTTTCTTTTTTTTTTCTTATTTCTTCAAGTCTTTCGGTATACTACCTTCTTCTTGTCCTGATGGAAACAATTTTTTTTTTTATTCATTTTTTGTACAGCTCCATGCGTATATGTTGGTGTCTATGTGCAAAAATGAAAGTTAGAAGAAGAAATGAAATAAAATTTTCAAAATTACTTCTAAAGATTTATTTATTTAATAAGAATTCTAATGTACAACTATTTGATTTATCAAAATCTAATAATGTTTTGCAAAGTTCTTCATGTATATGTATTTGTGGTCGACATTTTTTAACAAGATTAAATGCATCAATTAACGTCATATTCATTGAATGCATTAAATAGATAATAGCTATAAATGGTGTACGACTCATTCCAGCACGACAATGAATTAATATACGATTAGAAGATTTTTCTCGACGAACTTGATCAATAAATTGAAGTATGAGAGGCAAATTTTTTTCACATTTATTTTTTGATAAACCATCATTAATATGAAATACACCATAAGTAAATTCTGATGGATAATGACATTTACCAGCTAAATTTACAATATGAGTTATATTTAATGAATGAAGACCTTCTAAATTTTTCGATGTTTGACCACTACCAAGATAAAGAAAATTTTCAATAAGTTCTGAATATTCAAAAGATTTTATTGGTAAGTTTGATTGCTGACGTGCCATGAATAGATAATATTAAAAATGAAAGCTATTCGTTTCTTTTTCTAGTGATGACTAAGACAGAATTGCATAATTATTTCGCAAGAACTGTAGATGTCGATTCACCTGCGGAAGGTTTTTTTTTCTTGATAATCATATTTAAAAAATTGTCAAGCATAAGAAAGTAAAAATAAAACAGCAAATGAATCATTATTAAGAATTGTTATTAACAGCTTTATGTTTATTATAATCGTGTAGAATACTTTATAATAAACAAAAGTTTCTGAATAAAATATTTTTTGCTAGATTTTCATCAAGACTGAAACTTATGAATCATGATTAGAATTTTGTACATTTTCTAATTTCAGAATCATTTATTTTATTTTAGTTTTTATTGAATAGTAGTGAAGAAATCTTTCTTACGAGAGGACTTACAAGACAAATGAATATTCTGCTACATAAGCATAACATGATCAAATTTTTTACTCAATTCTTTCTACATCTATTCAATAGTCCATGTCAAGAAACCTATGGAACCAAATGTTTAGACAATAATAATGTTGCTTCGTTGAGATATGAAGTTTTTGAATAACACAAAGAGCTATTTTCCATTTCCCTCAGAAAATAGCTATGCCATAATTCACTTCTTTCTCGTTCATATCTCAAGTGACTTTTTTAAGTGACGTCTCATTTGAAAGAGACAATAGAGTTGAACGAGATGTCTAAGTTTTGTGACCTTCTAATCATACATACAGATGAAATCGATGTGTGATAAGCGGAAACTTTCGTGTCAGAAGTTGTTGTTAGAGAATTTCGAAAGAGAGGTTAAATAAACTTTTATTCAGATAAATTATAAGGTTTTCTTGGTACGGAAACTGGTTTTTTTCCAGATGTACTGTTGACAAAGCTAATCATGTGGAAGATGTTATACGTTTCAGCTGACCCGAATTGTGAATAATGTGCCGTAGTTATTGACATTGAATTGCTTCGTCGATGATTTACTCTTTTTTGAATGCTTCGACATCCTCACCGTCACAAGAATCCACTTTAAACTCTTCCTGTTGATTTGATTTGAGCTGCGAGCAGTAACTGCGAATTTAACCTGGTTTCAAAAGTTAACTTTGTTCGAAGACAAAGTTACTTTTGTCTTCGACATACTCCATTTCGGCCACCATAGCTTCTGGTTTTCATCGTGTATTATTATTTTATATCGATCGGATAGATATTCGATCTATTTGAGAGTAAGCTGTGTGAATTTTCAAGTTTTTAGAAGTGCTCAAGCCTTGATTAGATGAATTCTCATTGAATCTCGATGTGCAATAATAGTAGCGATTTGCAGGATAACGAACATGAACTCTCTTTGAATGGTTGTCTGGAGCTTTGACGTGTACATCTGTATTTCGAAGTCGCATAATGAAATAGGTTCGCGTCAATGAGCATGTTTTCAAGCTAGAGGACGATCGACGAGTTTTTCAGCTTTTAGAAACTTCTTGAAACATACATCTATACATAACAATCGAAGAAAAGATCTATATGGATGTTCTTGTCACAGCCAATAGACTTTTTTGACAAATCGCGTTATTTGTTTTTTATCTGTATTGTTGGGAATGATGTTGTAATAGATGATCGAGAGCTTTTTTAAATTAGTTTCGTTGATTCTTTATCATTTTCCAGTACAAAACTCGGTCGGTATCTACATTTGAATCCTCTTCGCTTGATGATGCACTTGTATGATAATTATCTTTATTCGTTATTTGCAGGCCGATAATTATGCTGCTTCGATTCTTACACATTTCCATGAAATAAGCTACCCGTTGCGAAAAATAAACATTGTTGTAATCACCATAACTTGTGCAATACGTATCACAAATAAAATTATCATATCAATGTCTCAAATTGAAGTTACCAGGCATCTGTTGTGCATACTTAAGGCTCATTCGTTACAATGGCTTTCGACATGGAACATATAGACTAGACAGCGAAGGATACGCATAGCACCATTAATCTGTGTTCGAATCAAACTAACTAAATAGTTGGCAGAAATGACGAATGACGATGAATGTTCTACCGAAATCAATCATCATTTCGTCATCTATTTCAACTCGATAAAGGGCGGCTTAAATATCTGTATATGTCTTTAGAAATAGAGACTTGCTCAATTTCTTGTGCCAATCGGTTAACCAAATTAGGTGATTGCTCTTGTTTTTATCGTATTCATAATTATTAAACAAGCAAATAGTCTTTTCAAGTTCAAAAAGCACTATCGTAAAGGGCCGTTTACAAACAAATACACCGAAAAGTGGTCGCCATATATGATAGTTAAATACGGTAAACATGTACGACAAAATACGTTCAAATACAATTAGTGTTTACGATGAAGATAAACGATTGTCGTACACGACTATCGTATACCACTGTATATGATCGTAACTTAGTCGTCAGTTAAGATGTCCATCTCGATCAAGATTTTTTTTTCAAATTGAGCATTAAATCCGATGGTAAATGTCATTTAGAAAATGAACCATTTCTTTTTTTTATATAGATTTATTTCAATTGGGGTTTGATTTCTTTCTGTGATATTTAAACAGGCGAATATCTAATATAACTAAAGAATATGTTAATAGACATTCTTTTTTATCACCAATAACACTTCGATATGTAATGTTATTTAAAAAAAATGAGGATGATATATGAAAAGATAGATGCATAAAACCTTGTCTGTCTATTTTTCTATATCTATGATGCTACAGTTTTATGTGAGTCACCTGAAGGAAATAAACGAATAAGTTTCCATAGAAAAAAAATTCTTTTATTATTACAGGCGCATATATCTGTCATATTGTCTTTATTAAAGAAGCTGGAAGCCAATTAATATCAAATTATTGGAGAAACACAAAGAATCCATCTGCCACCTCTGTTTTATTTTCTTTTTGGTCTTTTACAATTTTGTGATTAGCTACAAATCTGAAAGAAGGAAAGTTTCTTATTATTTCATAAATAAACTAGAAATTCTATTAGAAGAAAAATTGAATACATGTTATAGGACAGCTATTGTGAGTACCAATGAAACAATTATATTAGATGAAACGAATTATGCAACATCAGTGCTATCAGCTTGAAGGTCTGAGTGTCGATGTTAATCTTCTCTGCATCCGCTCGCATCCTAACAGATTAAGAGAGATTATCTAGTCTATCTTTAGTTTATATTGAATATGTTTATAATATTGATTTAGATACTATTGAAAATGAATTTGAATGGAAAAAAAATACTTAAAAAATAAATCAACTGATTAGTGTAAGACTTGAACCAAAATATTTTTTTAATAATTACTGATTTAGAAAAATTATTGCTTTCCCTAGAAACTTTAGTTTGTATTATGTATGTTTATTATTTAATTTATCATTATTTTTATGAATATAAATATTTTATTTATATTTATTCTTTATTATAAAGAGCAATAAAGATAATCGAACTTTCCTAATATTTAATATCAGATCCAACGATAATTATTAATGTAGTATGTTAATTTACACTTTTATTATTTAGATTTATTGCAACAGTAGGTTCAATGATAAGTAGTAGAGATTGACACATTAAGTGCATAAGTAACCACGAAGATATTTAAATATTTTCTTGTCTTTGTTCGTCTAAGAAAAACAAAGCGTTAGCAAAGCAATTATATTATTTAGAGAGGCAAGCATTTACGTAATGATCAACTAAATCAAAGTTAATGCAAGATGAATATTTCTCCTTTATTAATATGAATAAGTAAAATAAATAATAAGTGACAAAATATAGATTTATATATACGTAATAACTCAGCCTTGCCACGTCATATAATAGAATATTCGAGGTATATATGGTTGTGTCCAAGCAAATAAACATTCTAGTGTAGTCTTTTGTCAGAATCCTTTGTTTTGGAATACTAATAATTAAAACAGTTTCCAAGAACGTCACGGAAGTTTTGAACATATGAAAGAATGTTTTTAGATTAAAACATCGTTCCTATAGGAAGCCTTTTGATACCAATACTCATTATAGGAGCAG